AATAACTTCGTTTAAGTCGAGAATAATTGGATTGCATCGATCATAACCTTCTCATTGGAAAGCTCAGACATACGGGTTTTAGGTCACCAGTAGATCCATGGATTAAATAGTGTGCGTCGAACAGAAAAATAAGAGTAAGAATGAGTGTTACCACATTTGATAGATTTGAAACAAACCTGGGAGTTCCTCAGCGATGTATATTATCACCCCTCTTCTTTCTTATGTTTGTAAATGATATGAGTGGGAACTTGGTTAGTGAGGACATCAAAGAAGTACAACAGGCTGATGTATTTCTGTAGTGTCACCTTTAGGTATTAAACAGCTTATATTTGCTTAAAAGTAAATTTAAGAGCGTTTTGCTAAATAAGGCAATTTATAGTACAAACGAATTTTTGTACAAGTAACTCGCTATTCTTATATTATTGTTTATGCATCCCAATTTCTTTCATGTTATGTATTAGTTATCTACATCTACGATATATTTTTTCACGTATCCTGTTCACGGGCTCACACAAACCATTATTCTATTTTATTTTATTCTCTAGCCGACTTTCTATGCTTGTCCAACCCTTCTGTGCTCACGCATGCCGAGGCTATATATAGTTAGCTTCCAGCAGCTTAGTTGGAGGCACGAGGCCCAAAGCATGTGACAAAAGTTCATAATAGCATGACGAGAGAACAGGAGAACAGACTACATTAAATATTAATAAATTTTACTTCTCAAACCATTTCTATTACAACAAAAAGAATTATTTAATGCAATAAAGAAAAAAAAGGTGACTAATCTTTGCAACTTTCGCGCTTGATGGAAGGCTTATGTTGGAGTAGCCTAGACTCGTAGATCTGAAACAAGGTGGCCAAAAGACACGCGTAAGAGAGTTCCAAAGTTGAGTCAAGGTCCAATATAAGATGTAGGCCAAAGGCAAGGGAGTTGCAAAGCTGAGGTAGGGAGCCAAAATAAGGTCATTAGTAAACTCTAAACGCTAGAGCAATAGGTAAGGCTCAACATTAAGTTTCAGTAAGGCATAGCCAAGGGTCCAACACGTTTTGTTACCTAGTCATCTCCAGGTCATGCTCTGACGAAATAACGAAGCTATGATTTTATACGTTATAATAATGGTTGTGTAACTAATCAGATCAAACAAAGAGACAAAATAAAAGCATAAGCCAGCCAAAACATGAAATAACGGTTATTAAAAATCTCCAGTGCTCTTGAAGCTGTTTTAAACAATAGTAAGTGGAATGTCATCAGCAGCCACAGATTTGCTTAAAATAAAACATGAAAGATAAATTGGAAGTGCATGGAAGAGCAACGGAGTTGAATGCCGGCTCCCTCATCATCTGAGTTTCTTGGTTTGTACTTTTAATCCGAAAATTATTATTATCATTATTACTATTATATCCATAAATAGAGGTAAAATCATCCTGTTAATTCATTTGTACCATACTTTTCGAAAAATTATGGAGGATGATCACAATATTTTAAAAAAGGTTGATAAAAAATGAATGTACCAGCAGAACCAGAATCAATATTTGCAGAACAGAAGCAAATTAAGCAATATAAATATATAAGATCAAACTCACCATTTTTTCATAATTCTAAACACACTCTTTTTCCAATACATTGTTCTCTCTTTTCCAATTCGCGTTGTTTACAGAAATAAGTGTTATCTGTATGGCGGTTCTGATAGAAAAAATAATTCTGTCCGAGGTATCCCCATCTGTAGTAATTTCAGGAATTTCTCTATAGATGGGGATAAGTATGGTTATGCATAGAAATGGGCAGAAAATTCGTATTTCGTAGACGAGGGGACCGTTGTCAGAACATACATATGTATGAAATCAAATAGACTCTTGTATGTACTTTACCACATTATTTTATTTTTATTCGATCATTTCAACGGGAGGTCAAAAAATATTAAACGAAGTTGAACTCAACCAATTCGATAGGGCACCACATCGTTTGAAAATCTATGCTTAACGAAAATATGTTTTCTTTTCTGAATTATCAAAAAAGCATTTCAGCAGAAGGCCTTGGTGCCTACGCTGAACGTGAACTATAGTTAAACTTCCAAAGGCTACATGAACTAAACAAGACTGCGTCTATTAAAAACACACTTCTAAACTGATTTAGCTGACCTGCATAGATATACAGGGTATTTCCAAAAGGCAAGGTGAAAATTTATTGATATGCGAAAAACCAATTATAGGTTGGAAGTAAATGAGAAAATAATATACCATTAGCAAAAACTGTATATGCAGGGTGTAGACAAACCATCGAATCCTTGGTCAATTTGAAGACGAAATTTCCATATGAACATGGGTCCGCAACGGCTTTGTTTTCAAGCTAGAGCATATTAGCACTAAAAGAAATGATGTTATTGTTCTAAAAAATTATATAAATCACCGATTTACAGTTGTTTTGAAGCCCTCCATGTACGTAGATACGGATAATGTTATCCAGTATTTTTTAGGAAATAGCATGACATTGATTTATTTCGATCGCAATACTTTCAATATTCAAGCATTGTGCTTATTTATCTAGATACCTATGATGTACCCGAAATCAATTTAATTAATTTATTTTCTCAAATAATTCGTGGCTACTTTGAACATATATTGTAAAAAAAACTATTCGATATTTTCTATTGTTGTCGTTCTATTCGAATGTTACTGTTCAAAACTATTGACCTTCTAAATATTTTTTTTTCCAAAAATACAGGATAATACTATTTTCATCCACGTTCGTATTGAGCCTCAGCAACTTGTAAATATGTTTCATTATTCATAGACATATTTGGAACATTACTCGTATTTCTTTAGTGATAGTGCCCTGGCACGAAAATAAAGCCGTTATGGACCCATATTCACATGAACATTTGGTCTTCAAATTGACCAAGAATTTGATGGTTGAAGTTTGACTACATACTTCATTGACACCCTGTACATTCTGATTTGCTAGGAGATGTCTGTTAAAACGCCTTTGTTCGCAGCAAGCTTTGAGTTGCACAAGTGTTTTTAATTTATCGAAGAAAATTGGGAGGTATTTGGAACCTGACGGAGCAAGTTGAGCCAAATATGCGCAGCTACGTGATAGTATCCTTAGGCACGATTTCACTAACAACATTCCGTTATTCTCCACCTATAGGGTAACAGACCGTCAGATACAGCGAATGAGCTTCAAGTTTCAATCAACAAATTTTAGCAACCAATAGCTATGAAATGTTGAAAACAAAATACTGTCAAAGTATGAGATGACAACTTGTCATTGAAACATTACCAGCTTATTGAATATTAAGAAATTACGTATAATTCAGTCAAAATTTTAAGAAATGTTTGATTTTTGAATTAAATTCATGTTTTAATTACTATTGTTGATTTTTTATTCATGCTTATATTATTTTCTTCAATTGATATGTGATACTGGGTGTTTTTTCCTATAAACCTCTTGCAGATAGCCATTAAGCACCTACTTGATGACAGGCTCTACAAAAAGATATTGCTCGTTTCCAAACGTTCATTCATTTACTTGTCGTTCATCAGAACCATTATGGCACCTTAGATTGATATTCCCACAAAACCATTCAGCTTTTTTGATATCCATACATCCATAAAGTTGAATATTTTTCGTTGTTCAGGAAGTGAACAAACATCCACACTGTATTCACAGCGATTAATAAATTCCCAAATATATGCCTTAAAGCTACCTATAAAACCTGCAAAAAAAACTAAAAATTTGCCATATTTTTCTTTTTTCACGAGTACACATTCTAGGTTATATTTATATTAGACATTATTTGAATACAGCTGATTATTACATTTCAAGGAGTGACACATGTGTGGGATCTGTCAACTATTGGTACCAGTCACAAAACATATATACTCTGAAGGTTTAATTCCATGCTATTCAATCACAACACGGTGACTTGTGTGGTTGTCAGCGGCCATTTTGTGAGGGTGCGACAGGGTTGCCAGATTGTGCATTAATATCCCGTTTCGCCCTTCTGGTCCCAGTGGAGTAAGTTCCGCCAACTGTTGAAATATACTCTACTATGCTTTATAGGACTATTCGTGACATTTTTCTCAAAATCATTGCACAACACTTGAAAAAAGGCAAATGAAAATTTAAAATTATTTCCATGATGCCGCAAAATAGCTCCGTCGGTACCTTGGGTTATACATCTTGACAGTAGGGATGTTCGATAGGATCCTATATGTAGAAGTATCACTACATTTCACGAGTATCGTCATCTTTCGATCCGGACTGTGTTAGAAAGAGTGACTGCCATTTGACTGCAACATTACCCTGCCAAATCAGACATATCTTTCATCATTTTCAAAGAAATTGTACAAAATCTTCAAATTTGTGGAGTTAGCGAGTTTCACTTCATACGTTGTTACCAGACATGCCCAAATGATTAGTTGCTGCCATGATATTCATCCCGACCACTGCATCCCCACGGCTAGGCGACCTGTATGTTAAAGTTGTATTGATAGGGCAGCGGGTTATGCTATAAATCATATGTCACAGTGTTTGTGCACTGATTGCAACGGGTAGGCCTATGCATGTTCTTATGGAGTATCGCGATGCCTGGCTGGCAAGGGGACGGCGCCACCATTTCTCTGGGGTGTTGTCATATCTAGGTTTGATATAGCAGTATCAAAATCTCTACTAATAAGTTGTACCTCTCTGTGGCCTGTGCAGCTTCAGTGATGATGTGATTATTCTTTCTGATCTGCCTCAGTATGTCAAGAATACATTTTCCATATTACGTTCAATCTATCACTTGTGAAGTCTAATATTCCATTCAAAATTGGAGTATGTGGCAACCTTGCCAACTAACCTCATAGCCTGAGCCTCTATTCTATGCCATGTAAACTCAAATTTATTGATGTTTTAAACTTAAATTTGTGTCGCACGATTGTTTAGCTAAGTTTTCAAAATGCTTTACAAGTGCTGCGTTCCTAATTGTGTCGGTAATTACGGGAAGGGTCCGAAGGTACAGGTATTTTCGTTTCCTTTGAATGAAAACTGTCATAAAAGATGGCTCAATGCAATCCCTCGTAGTGATTTAGTGGTTAAAAAAAACACCTGAGTATGCAAACTTTGCTGAGGACAGCATCATTATGGAATCCACCTTCCATGACGAAAAGACAGGTAGGACCATTACTGTACCCCTTAAGTATCCAAAATTAAAGGCAGATGTAATTCCAAGTATCTTTGCAAATTGTCCAAAATACCTTTCAAAGGACATATCAAGCAGAAGAAGCCGAGATGAGAAATTGAAGGACAAGGAACAAGAACTTAAAGCACTGCAGACTAGCATTGGTGATTATTCCTGTTATCAAAAATCAACTTGTTTTCAAAATTATTCAGACTTTCTCACAGTTTTCAGTTCATGGTAATGTCCATATGGGTGGAATGAAATTGTTCAGGATAAAGTTACTTTGTTTAAGTTAGAATATAAACCAGCACCCATCATAACTCCCTCTGTAATTGTTGATAAAGATCTCAATGTAAAAACGTATATGTAGTCCCAAGAACTGTTACTCAACACAGGTAATATTAAAACTCCATCTTTATTATCTAATATACATCACTTGGATAATGTTCTGCATGTTCTTTCTGAGAATGCAGATGCTTCGAGGGAATATTCAGGTAAAGACCAGTTCAGAGCCACTATCAACCATGCTTAAAATATTTTGAATAGCACAGAACTATTCACCGATGAAGAGACCCACATTATTATACAGAATTTGTGTAGAGGTGGCTTCAAATTCCCAAAGGATCCAGTTATTAGTATTGTCATGCTAAGTTATATAATTTTCAATAAAGTTTTTCTCAGTTGATAATTAACAATCTGAGTGATAATAACCACGACACTTCATTTTCGCGTTGCACATTCCATTCACCAGATTATGTTATAAAACTAATTGTTGTTTGCACAGTCAATACATTTTTGAAAAATTATTGTGCCAAAAGGAACGACAGCTTTGCAAGTGCGAATAGAGCAAAGAAACGTAAATTGACTACATTCACATGAGGCCGCAACATTTACATAGCTGTAGATAAATGTTATTATTTTTGTTATTTTTGATACTTGTTTTCTGTTTCCTAATTTTTCTTATTATTTTGTTTTGTCATTTGCTTGTTCTAAGCGTTTTTATTAAGTTTTCGTTAATCTTTGTTATGTTTTTCTGTTGTTTATTTTACTTTAAATTTATCTGTTTTTCTTATTATTTATCCTACACTTCTTCCTCCTCAGCTTTCTTATTCCTTTCCTGGCAAGAGCTTACCTCAGACCTCCTCGTTGGTTCTTGCTGGACACAACTGTTCTACAGGCACTACATTTTTTATATAATTTTCAAGTACCATTATATTATGCCTATAATAATAGTAAATTGTCGACATATTCCTGTGAAATTTTGTTGCTCCGTTGTGACTATCATGGGGTTATTCATTGAAGAATTTATCATTTTTAGCAAGCTTTTATAACATCAACTTATTAATCTAATGTGCACGTAATGTTGGATGAAATATCAGTGAAAATCAGGGGAAATAGCTAATAACTACTTTAATATTTTCCACCAAGCCTTCATATACCAAAAACACTTTTCTGAATTATCCGTTATTTACATCAGGTAGAGTATATTAAATATGCTGCAATAATATATTATTCACTAGCGCTCATGTACGGCACGCCGTGCTGTCGGCCGGCCGACCGGACTACTCGTGGTAACGTCACGCGTCTGTTGTCAGGCCTTGTACTCTCGGTGGTAACGTTAGATGATACCAAAAATATTTTCATAAATAGGAGTTTTTTCCCATTCCGGATCGAACAATTTACCAAAGATGCTTATAATCATGATACCTAGTGAATTTTCACGAAAAAAAATTCAAAACCACCAAATGTAAAAGATTCATTTCGCACCCTCCACCACGGGACGTGATCGTCGTTAGACTTGGCAACAGCGAGTGTCAGATATATATCCCCGCCAGTCAAAAAAGAAAAGTAGACAAACAATAAGCATTACTAGTTGTTTTGATTTTTGGACTTAAAAGCCATTATCTGTGAAACATTTTTCATAATTTTTTGTCTATGTCCATAGTAATTGCATTATGCATCAGGGAGATGTAGGGATTGACACGTCTTACACATATTATCTGAGTTTTAGGATGGAGAGGACATAATGTTTTGTATTGAATTGAAGAAATTCATTAACCCATAAATTAATAAATCATTAATTACTATTATGACGTAAAGGAAGATGACGAATTGGATGGAATGTATTTTATATTATATTTTCTTGCAACATCCACACTATTCAACAGGTATGTAATGATAACTTTCAGTATATTGAAGTTGGTATATTCGAGAGTGCCATGCATTAACAAACGTCCAAATCTGCTGCCAAATTTAACAGCTAGAAAATCGACCTATTATTTGCCGCATTCGCATTCGCTGAAGGAGATAACGGATTGGTAAATGTAAACCTATAACATACAAAATACATGAAAGTTGTCCTGTTTTTTTCTGTACAAAAGTATCATGTTGGAATCAAAAAGTGGTCTTGTTTATAATACAGTCGAATTTTCATGATTTTATTCAATATTTCAATAGAAATCACTGATATTCAGCTTTCGCCAAATTGCATTTCGATAAGGTATTTTCCCATTGGTCCATAATATTAATGTTGGTGAAATCGGCCCTTAATGTGATAGTGATCGCGGACATTAGAACTGGTTGACCAGAAAGTTTTCTCACAAACGCCACATAGTTTAGCCTGACTGAACTTGATCCCATCTTCACGAGTCACATAATTGGTTTGAGGTCTTCCACGAACTATACAATCGAGAAACGTCAGTCTCTGGTCGTTCAAACAACATCTATATATTACCAAATTAAAGATCAACTTATGGAACAAGCATTCGACCAAGGGCGTAAACGGAACCCATAGGTAAGACCAAGCAGTTGCTAAAAATCATGAAACAGCGGTCCATATGGTTGGCCGTCTATGGACAAAAGCTATATTACAATTTGGAACCCCCTGTTCCAAAAATTGTTTTACTAGAAACAATGCTAATATCTTCTCTTCATACATCGGGAAAAAGATTCATTTAGTAGTAGTAGTAGTTTCACTGAATAACCTTAGATAGTACCATGGACATTAGTTTGGCGAAGCCTGTAAATCAAGTAGGCCATAGCAGAAAACCTTACGAGGAGCAGTACTGAAAGTTCATAGATGCAACTTCGCCTTAGCGTAATTGGAAAGGTTAAGTTGTCTATGGATGGACTATTTTGAACAGTTTTTTTGGACCGAGAGGCTTCTCAAGTTATCTTTTTCATGTTCGCATGAATGCATAAGCTGCACCATAGAAACTAGATGGTTTTTTTCCGGAACTGTCAAAGAACAAAATACCTTAAGGGTACTCTAAAGAAGTACTACCAGCTTATATAACATTCATTTGTCTACAAATTATGGTGAGAGCAAATCCGTTAAGAATAAATATTCGTTTCGTCCACCCCGCACGTATCACACTGTAAGTCGGTATACCTCCACGCCTACCATAACCCTGTCAGCGCACCAGCGTAATTCATTTATATAGCTTCGGTTTGTGTGCATTTTCACAACTAAATGCTTAATTGCCTGTAAAATTTGAATTTCCTCTGAACGTCATTAATTTTCGCTTTGCTGAATAATATTGATTTTTGACCGCGTTTAATATTCGGACATAAACCAGCATGCTTTTCTAGGTTAGTTTACACAGTTTTTGCCAGAATTCCATTAAATTTATTAATTTAGTGCCGTTTTTGGTTCACAGAATTATAGTTGGTTATTTTCGATGTTTGCTTTCCTTCATATTTTCTGGACATATGAGCCTGCGTATCAAAAATGCAGAAGTTGCAAGAATCTGGAATCAGTGACATCATTCCTGTTTTGGACAGGGTACCTGAGATCGTAGTCAGCCGATATGATAGGTGTCAGACGATTAACTAATTGCTCTCCTTACGCGTTCTTCGACAGCTTAAGCTCCGGATATAACTGTCCTACTATCATTTTCCTTGTAGCTCTTAGAGATGATGCACAAATAGCTGAAAATGTGAAATTTTCCCTTATCAATAGCATTAAGAAGTTTACTCTATTGATAGTCCCAATGCAATGTCCTTTCCTAGTTCAATATTCTCTCCTTCCTAGATTTCAAAAAAGTTATAAGATCATTAGACAATAAGTTCAATTTATATAAAATTCTTAAGTGTAATATGCTAGAACAAATTTTTGAAACCATCGGTCATGTAATCTTAAATCTTATAAATACATCACCAGAAACAGGTGTTATAGGTGATGAACAAAAAATTAGCACATTGACCAACTGGTTGAACATTTCAAAGCACCGAATATTTTTCTACTCCACAGAAACAGCTATTCAGTTAACTATACCCAAATTTGAAGATGAAGTTGGCAATAGTAAGTATGCTATTACTGTGATTCTTCACTTGCACACAGAATTTTAAACCGTGGATAGAAATATATTGTTAGCAAAACTTGCAATTAGTAGAATTTCTGGTAATTTATGTGACTGATTTTTTAATAAGATAAATATTAGGAAACACAAGGTGAGAGAGGGAGTACCGCAGCGCACTGTGCTGTGTGGCCGTCTATTTATTCTATACAACGCTGATTTCGACCTCTCTGCTGAACATGAATTTATTAATAGTTTTGTTATTGATAGGTACTGGCATCTTCTGAAAGTAATCTGGAAACATCTATTAACAAGATGAATATTGATTTGGATAAGGTGGCTAACTATATGAAACTGAATTCACCGAGACTTAATTTGGTTAAAACAAAGTCTATAATCACAACATAGTCTCATCAAACTATCTGAAGTTAGTTTCACATTCACATTAAAAATATATAAGTTGAAATTGTCACATAGGAAGTATTTGGGAACTCAGCTGGACAACGGTTTAGCTTTTGATAAACGTTTTGAATGTATCCATAAAACTATAATTTTTTCAAGCAGCTCCCTCTCAATCCAAATATGTATACTTAACACAGAGGATACGGGGTGTTTTCAGAAGAAGGTCATTTATTTAAACCGCTTGTAGAACTCGTCACTAGAAGCTGATTTACCAAAAATCAGCTATATAACAGTTGCATAATAAGAGAGTTGATTTACATTATTAAAAATTATTAAAAAAATCATTATCACGTTAAATGGATACCGTTTTTACAAAAACTGTTCAAAATTGTCCCCATTTGATGGATTAACGCAAAATCTTGCTTCGCGAAGCCACGACCCTTTACAAGCTACAAAAATAAAACCTTGGTGTCCACGACTTAGATCAGAAGCATTTTCAGTGCGCTATTAAATTTCTTCCAGAGTATTTACTGCTCCATCATGATACACCAGCTCTTTCAAATAGCCCTACAGAAAAAATTCGCAAAGCATTAACTCCGGGGAGCGAGCAAGCCCAGATATGGGTCCATTGCACCCTATC